TTTCAACCAGTTGTTATTTCAAGTAAAAAATGGTGTCCCATGAAAAAAAAACAGTTAGGTCAGCTCACAATTCAACTACACATGTGCTTTTGAGACAACCGTCATACTTCCATATATAGCAGAAGTGAATATTAAAAAGATGAATACTCAAGGATTGATATTAAATAAAACTAACAATTTTTAGTGCTTCAACATAAAGACATTTTGAGTTTAAATTGGTATTTTCCCCCCTGCAAATCCATACAATTTGGTGCCAACTGCCTTGATTCATACTAAGGCACCAGCAATTTTACCGACCCTCAGTGCAAATGTCAACAGTGAAAAAAGCAAATAACATTTTAGTAATAGTTTTGAACTCACAGACCCCCTGAAGAGGGGATCCCCAGAGGTCCATTGACAGTATACTCTGAGAATCGCCTCACTGAACTGATTCCCATAGAACCATCATACCAGTTAAACATTAGCTATCTTAGCAAGAGTTAAATAAGTTTCAAAATCACTTCACATATGATCCAAGTAAGACAGAGTGTGGGGAAAGTGACAGGGTGTAGTCTACCATACTCAGTTTGATTGCTAATCCCAAGTCAGACATTAAAAAATATAAAGTCTAGGAGAATTTTTCCTACAGATCTGATTATGAAATATTTGGCAGAGGGAACCTAATTCAAACCAGCTGCTGGAGTCTTGCTGTGCAGCAGTTGGGTAGAACACACGCCAAAAGGCCCCCGTTAGTGGGGAGGCTACGTGAGCTCATCCAAAGGCGTTTTAGCAGCTTTCGCTTCACAAGTCCCATAAGCACACCACCACCTAAGTTTCCACATTGTAAAGTAGCCACACTTTTTTTTGTATCTTTTTCTCCTCCAGGCACAGAAAGTTTATTGGAAAAGACTACAAAATGCATATCCTTCAAAATTCACAGCACTTTTAAAACCAATGTGTTCTATCTCTATCATGTATCTGGCTTTAATCTCAAGAAATGTGTAAAAATAAAAAATAAATAAAAAAATTAAAATCCTCTTTATCACTTTCATGTTTTTCTTAATTCTTCACCAGCCTGAAGTTTCAGCCATTAACACACACACACACACACACACACACACACACACACATGCCTTGGTTTCCAAGAATCTGTAAAGGCACAAGCCAATGCAAATGATAACTCATGTTATTTTACACCACTCTAACAATGTTCTTTGATTTTTGAACTATAATTAATTCTTAATTTATCAGGACTACCTACTTTAGTGGATAATCAAGGTCCTTAATTTCTTTTTCTTTCCTATGTGCTTATGCCATCTTTTTTGGGGGGGTCTCATCCACTCATAAGAGCATGTTCCAAAGTATCAGAAATAAAATTAGTAAAAGTGAATATTCAGCCCTTTCTCATTACGCATATAAATCTCAAACCCTCTCTTTCCCCATACTAAAAAGACAAAAACACACCACTTTCTGGCCTTGCCTTTCTCCGTGGTATACCTGCTGGTCTGCTTCTAACCTCTGGCCTCTCTCTGTGTCCCTACTCTACCCACTCTGGGAGGTGGAGGATGATTAAGTCCCACTTAATTCTGTCATTTTGTGACAAATCAATTCCACCTGCCTGATGGCCACATGGAAAAACTAAACTGTTCACCTGCCTGTCATCTTTGCTCCTAATCCACTGGTACTTCCTGAACAAGGAGTTAAGAATCCCTGCTGTTACATTAATTAAACTTATTAAGAAACATGTTCAGAGAGCTACAAACCCCACCCATTTAATTAATGGACAAGTTCAACTTACATATCTAGGTTGATCCAAATGATACATCTGAATTCCTCACAGTTAACATGATACTTTCACTACTTGTGAAAATTGTTGGGTAGAACTAAGTTCCTCGTTTAACAATGATCAAAATAAACCAATTATACTTTTTACATAGAATTCTTCTTTGACATATTTTCACTTAATAATAAATTATTATCCTAATTAAAGCAGCTAACAATGTATCAAGTACCACTGCGGGCATTTTACAAGTATTAACTCATTAAATATTCATACTCACCCTATCTGTTAGGGTCCATCTTGGTTTCATTAACAAATGAAAAATTGTGGCACAGAAAGGTTAGGTAACATGATCCCAACTACCTACTATAAGTGGCAGAATAGGGATTCAAACTCAAATTTATTAAGGATTGGCCGTAGTTCCTTCTATGAAGTCTTGCTGGATTTTTAAAAATTATTAATTATAGTATCTTTACTGAGACATAATTCAAATGCCATACATTTTACCCATTTAATGTGTACAGTTCATGGATTTTAGTATATTCAGTTATGCAACCATCACCACATTCAATTTTAGCACATTTTCATTACCCAGAAAGAAATCCTATACTCATTAGCAGTCACTCCTTATTTCTCCCAACCCAGCCCCCACCCCAACTCTGGCAATGGCTAATCTACTTTCTGCTTTTTTAGATTTGCCTACTGTGGACATTTTATATAAATGGAATCATGTTGTCTTTTGTGTCTAGCTCCTTTCACTTAGCATGATGTTTTCAAGGTTCATCCATGTTGCAGAGTTTATTAAAACCTCATTCTTTTTTATTGCTGAATAATATTCCATTGCATGGATATGCCATATTTTGTCTACCCATTCATCAGCTCATGGACACTTGGGTTGTTCCCACTGTTTGGGTGTTACGAATCTGTTATAAACATTCAAGTATAAGTTTTAGGGTGGACATAAGTTTTCATTTTTCGAGTATACAACACAGAAGTAGAATTGCTGGGTCATATAGTGACACTGTGTAACCCTTCTGAAGAACTGCCAGATTGTTTTCCATGTCAACTTGCACCATTTAGCATTCCCACCAGCAGCGCATGAGGGTTCCATTTTCTCCACATCCTAGTCTATGCTTGTTATTATGTTTTTTTAATTATAGCGGTCCTAGTGGGTGGGAAGTAATATCTCACTGTGCTTTTGATTTGCGTTACCCTAATGGCTAATAACCCGTATGTTGACCATCTTTTCATGTGCTTATTAGGTATCTGTATATCTTCTTTGGACAAATGTCTATTCAGATCCTTTTCCCATTTTTTAATTGAGTAATTTATCTTTTTATTTTTGAGTTGTAAGAGTTCTTCATATTTTTTAGATACAAGTCCCAGATAAGATATATAATTTGCAAATATTTTCTCCCATTCTGTGGGCTGTCTTTTCACTTTCTTGATGGTGACCTTTGAAGCACAAGTTTTTAATTTTGATGAAGTTCGATTTATTTTTTTCTCTTGTTGCTTATGCTTTTCATGTTATATCTAAGAAAGCTCTGCCTAAGCCAAGGTAATGAAGACCTACTCCTGTATAAAACTAAGAGTTTTATAGTTTTAGCACTTAAATCTTATTTATATCTTTTCTCTAGTTGCAAATTAATACCACAGGAATAGTACACACACAACCACCCCATTTCCTTTTTTCATACCAAAGTGCTTTGGTGGTCTAGGCTAAGTCTAGTCTATGACCAGAAATGATTGTTTATTGAATTCTAATTTCTAATATTGAACGAAGGCTCACTTATAGGATGTCATAAATTTCTGCTCCATCCGTCCATTGATACACAGTTAAGGGAATGTCTAAGGATAAAGCTACCTATCCTGTATTCTATGATCATAATTACAGTATAAGCTTTTTCCATAAAATTTAAACTTAAAGGTCTCTACAGTCATATTTATAAGCTCAAAATCTTTGGAAAATATAAATTTAATTGCTCTAATTATAACTACTGACATGTCCACATATTTTCATAGGATTCCTGTCATGCTCCCAATGTAACTATGACAGTGAAATTATAATTTAAGTAATAGAATTTAACTCAACTAAGATTTACTGAGGACCTAGTATATGCAAAGCATTATGGGAAGTGCTGAGATAACTGTCATAGTTCTTGACCACAAGAAAGTTCTAATTTAGTGGGGATAAAAAATAAATAAAAAATGGACAAGTTCAATTTGCATGTCTAGGATGATCCAAATGATACTCTGAATTCCTCACCTAAGGGATCTCTATTCTGTGATCTAGGTGCTCCAGCTCTTAAATCACAGAGAAACTCCTGAAAAGCTATGTGAAAATTATATTTTTATTAAAAAAATGATATATGTAAAGGAACTTGGCAAGTTGAAGGAAATCCTATGTAATGTGAATGTCTTCTTGTAATGTAAAGAATACTCTTCCTCACATGAATCTTTGTTTGCTCAAGGCAAGAATCCCCCACACTGTTCCCTGTGGGATATATCAGATGATTTCATCATTTAGCTATTTTGACTACCAAATATTTTTCTGTGGGGCTCCATTTTAATGTGTAGCTTTTGAGTTACATCAAGCCCTGATTCCTTTTTAAGCCCAAATAAAACTGAATATGAATATACTTTCTAGTTTCACATACTGGCCACCAAATTTACATTTCTCTGTTCTTTACCCTTCCAACTCCCCTCATTTGGCATGCTAGAAACATCCTATTGCTTCGGGTCAAATCAATATTTATTTGATGGGATCAAAATTATATGCTCTTATACCAGAAAGAGAAGTTGAAGAATATTTCGGCTGAGTTGTGTGGTTTATCCACAGTACCACATTCTGGTTAAAAGGATTTCATCACTCAGTCAAATGGCTCCCACAATTTCAGTGGTTTTCTAGTCACAGTCAATAAAGCAAAGAAAAAAACTCCCATAAAAACACTATTTACTCATCTTCATGACTAAGCAATTTTTGGAGAGAGCAGTTAGGAAGCTGCTTCAACAACTTAAAAAAAAATGCACACAAAAATACTAATGCCAGAAAGCATTTATTCTGAGTTAGGAGATGCAAAATAATCAATAAGGTTGTGAAAGAAAGTTTTTGTCTAAATCAACTATATCAGCTACTTACTTAAATGCTATTTTAGGCACTAAAGATAACAGAATTCACTTTAAAATTCTTTAGAAGATTTAGAGTAGGACAGATATTTTATTTTTTTGGCTTTTGTCTTACCTTGTGGCAACAAGAGGGTAGCTGTGACATGGTGATGCCCAGGCATCCCTTGTCCATGGCATACAGTCATAAAGCAGCAAATCCTTTTCAGTCACAGCCATGAGAACAGGTCTCCATTGTTGTCTTCCACCATCTAGTTTTGCCTGTTCCAATGGTCAAATCCAGAAAGCAGAACTAACTATAATGATATGTAATTGTAAACATCCCTTCAGTGATGCCTTAACATAGTGGGCTCTCCATTTTGTTTCCCTGCCCAACAGACTTGAGAAACATCCTATCAGATTCCTTCCCACTGGCAGGGGCTCTCCATTGGGAGGTGTGAGGTGGATTGTGTGGTTTGAAAAAGCTCTCCCTAATTGAGTAACAGACATTATCTAGAGATGTGACAGTTTTTCCCATTCCACAATAACTAATTATCAACAATTCTCATTAAATATATTATAATCTGTTGAAAATGATAATAGTGTTAGTATGCCCGATGTGGGAGTAACATCATCTAAGTACAGGGTAGAAACAAAATTCTACTACCAAATAAGCCTGTATAATCTAAACATCAGTGTTTTTCAACTATTTTTAATCAAGACCTACAATAAGAAATACATTTCACACTGCAACCCAATACACACATGTAATTAGCCAAATAAAAAAAATTTCCAAAACAATACAATCCCTATATTTTATGCAGTATACTCTGATAATTTCTATTTTATTTTTTTAAAATGCTGACAACCTACTATGTTGTATTTTGGAAAACACTCATATAAACTATTGTCAAAAACTACCCTATTATACTTTAGGAAGTTTATGTTTCAATTTCATATGTGCCATTGCATTTACTTGCATAAAGCTCAGTTATCTCAGTGAGGGTTTAAGAATGTAAGAAAACAACCACATTTTATCCATATTGTTAAGGATCCAAGGCCAAAAAGCAAGTCTCTGTTCAAGAAAAGCTCTGGTATTATCAAAACATGTACCCTCATCAGATAAGACCTTTGAGCAGAGAATGTTTAACAACAGTGTATTTTAACACTGATCCTTCAGCTCACTATCACTGATGACGGATGGCTTCAAGGAGGATACAAACTGATGAATCACTTGTCTCTTCAACAGTTGTCTTCAGAGCCACTTTTGATTTTCTCCTCCTTAATGACTTCTGAAGGTTGTCTAGATATGTCAGAACACCTTAAGAATACATCTATAATCCGAAAAGTGGCCTGAGTGGTTCTGTTCGGTATTATAGCATCTACCATCAGGACTCTTTTCTCCTAGCGAAAGCCACAAGCTAATTCCAGGAGTGGAAAATGAATTCCAGTGAAGTGACCCTAGTGTACCATGTGCTGAAAGCACAAAAAATATGACCTGACTTGAAGAATTCAAGCAAAGTATTATATAAATGATTATACGTTTCTTATTGGTGAACCCAAGTTTTCTAAGACTCTACATTAGTTTATGAGTAACTGTAATATCTGGAGGGAGAGTATCAGCTTTAAAGAGGTTCTCTTGGGTTCTTACATTTTTGGGTCATAGATACCACAAAGGGATTTCTAGTTTATGTGCACTACTAAGTCTCTGAGATTGTTATGGATAATATTTCAATAGGAAAAATCATGTAAAATCTATCTTCCCAAAGGGTTAAAATGATAACCTGATTTTTTAAAATTAATTTTCCCCTAAGTTATAAGGGAGAGATTTTGAAAGCTAAATCAGAGTATATATGTATTTGGAAAACCTAAATTAAATGTATTTCTTCTCAAAAAAGATATTTTAGGCTCTAAAGAAAACTGCTAACGCCAATTGAAGCAATATCCAATTTCAAGAGAGAAATCCTTTTGTTCAACTAATTTTTAAAAAGTGTTTGTTCTTTAGCTCTCTTGAGACCTTAGTTTTTGGAGAATATCTCTTCCTTCTTCTACCTGCCCCTTTCTTTTTTCTTGAGAAAAGTGAAACCTCAATTTAAGTCATTCTTTTGCCTATTTGCTTTAACTTATAAAAATACTACTTGCTTTCACTGGAGTCAAAATGCTGCCTGCTATATATAGCATGTGTATTCAGTTGTGGTTATCAGTGAAAGCAGCCTTGGGGCTCCACTATTGAGTTTTTGGCTAGAGAAAAAAGGAATACTAATGTCAGGGTTCTGGTTTGCTTGTGTTTCAACACCCACACATGCATATACACTCTGGCCAAACAAGAGCCTTTTACAAATTTTATTTCCTAATAAATAGAGTTCGATAGCACTAAAGATGAAAATATACTAATAGTTATTACTCACTCCTTAAATCTCTTAATCTTATAAATCTTTTTAACAGGTGATGTATATCTGTTCTTTATTTTTATAATAGAAAACTCAGAGCAAACACTAAATAAACCATTCCAGTAATCCTAATTGGAATCTTTACACACTTTGGGAATTATCAGGGACAAAGTCGGAATTTTGAAAACAGAGCTTTCTTTGGCTGATCTGGCTTTTCAAATCTATACTCAAATGCTCAAAAATACTGGTTTTATAATAGGTCATACATGCCCCCCCCCTTTACTTAAAGAAAATCTCTTAAGAATATAACCAACTAAAAGGTAAATTATTAGTCATATAAAAATCACTATCAATAAAGAGAACAGAAGTTCTTATGCATAGAATAAATTATGAGTTACCAAATATCTATATATTGGTTTCCCTGTTTTATGCAAACTCAACTTATGACAATGTGAAATAACAAAAAAGATAAATTAAGGAGAAATCATTTAAAATTAACTAAATGATCCTTTCTTCATTTATCTGCCCCAAATGACTATCTTTTCTAAGTACTGCTGAAACAGTTTCATTTATATGCAAACTTTTCAGGAGATACACCTCTTGCCAAAGGAAATGATTACCTATATTAAACAGAATAAACTGAAATTATCTTGGCCATTTTCTCATTCATTAACAATCTTACTGTCAGAAAAGGCTTTGGCATTTACCTAGTTCAATCTTCATCAGCTTCATAAGCTCATTATAATACCTCTGAGAAACGGTATCCAATCTTGCTTGAACACCTTTTTCTGAGTGATATCTGATTTAGGTAACCCAAACAACTACTTCAATAAAGTAAAAATCAAGAATATTTTAGAAATAGCCCTTTGAATTATTAGTTCAGTGGTACTATTTTTAAAAGTGGTTGAAATTTTTCTACTTAGCATTATTTCCCAACCCTGAGTTGTGTTCTTGGTCAATATTTTAAAATTAGTGACTTGTTTGCTTGCTTTTTGTATGTAGATATGTAGACAAAGAAAACAAAACACTTAGCATCTATTACATACAAAGCACTAGGCTAAGCTCTCTGGGGGCAAAAAAGATTTGGAAAAAGTGTTTTCCTATCTTCCAAGAGCTCACAATTGAGTGGAGGAAACACACATAATATGATCCAAAAAGAGCAAATTATGATGAACTAGTGGCTTTATTTTTCTCCTTTTTACTTGTCTGTATGTAGTATAAACCAACTTAAGATCACTTTCAAGTCTGGCAACTCCCATACATCGCTGGTGGAAATCCAAATTAGTTTTACTCTGATGAAAGGCAACTTGGCAATATTTATCAAAATTACAAATGCATATGTATGATTTGTGGTAGTTTAAAAATATGTCTGCAAATTCTTTACTTCTCTTCCCTTTAGAAGCCCTTGTGTGTAGGCTGGACTTAGTAAATCGCTTCTAACAAAAAGAATAAAGCAGAAGAGAGAAGGTCATAAAAGGCACTGTTCTCCATCTTGTTCTCTCTCTCAGATCACTCACTCTGGGGAAAACTAACCACCCTGTCTTGAAGACACTCAGGCAACTCTGTGGAAAGCCCTGCAAGGGAAAGAACTGAGGACTTTTGCCCACAGGCAGCAAGAAACTGAGGCCTCCTGCCAATAGCCATGTGAACAAATCACGGGGGAAGTGGAACTGCCAACCCCAGTCAAGCCCGGAGATGACTGCCCTGTTGGCTGACAGCTTGACTACAACTTGATGAGGGATCCTGGGCCAGAACCATCCAGCTAAAGCGTAAACAGAGTCCTGATCCTCAGAACTCTGTGTAAGGTAAATATTTGTTATTTTAAAGTCTCTGAGACTTGGGGTAATTTGTTATACAGCAATAGACAGCTAATACACCCTTTGACTCAGCACTTTTGGGGACTTATCCTATGGGTATAGAAATACCCTCTGCTTTCTGAACTCTCATTATCCGAAGTAAGAAACTCATATAAATTTTTGGATAAATCTTTTTCTAACCAAAGTTTTACTACTCACTAACACAAACTTAAGAACCAAAGAGTTTGAATAGCACATGTGTAAAAGGACAAACTACAAGGTTTTTTATTGTAGCATCTTTTGTAATGCCAAGAGATTATAACAACAAAACTGGGAAAGTGCTTATTTAACTATAGGCACACAATGGAAAACTATACAGTTGTAAAAAAGAATGCCCTCTGTTCATTGATATGTTAAGATCTCCAGGGTATAATGTTCAATGAAAAGAAGAGCGAGGTATAAAGTAGTATGCATAATATGCTATCTTCTATAATAGAGAAAAAGGAAGATATATGTTCCTATTTGCTTTTATTTGCACAGAGAAACTCTCAAAAGATCACTAGAAAGAAATGAATTGATGACTTCTTTGGGGAAAAGGGAGTGGGAATTAGGTGGATGGGGACAGAAGGAGATAAGACGTTTCACCTATAAACTTTTTATTCCGACTTTTGCACCAGGTGAATGTATTACCTTTGTGAATACATTGCCTTTTTAAAATCATGAAGATTGCTGAAAGCACAGAACAATTACCATTCAACCGGGTTATTCAACCAGCACATAAAAATATAAAAGCAATGATAAACAACTAAAACACTAAAACTTTCACAAGTCATAAGTACTTATATCATGATTTTCATCAATTTCTTCTCTACTTAGTTATTCTAATTATGCTTCCTAGAAATGATCACAGTACTAAATTCTGTGTTCTAATTTATTATAATTATTGGAAATATTCACAAAATTTCAGAGCTGAAAAAAGAATAGATTAGTGGTGTCCAAAATTGATCTACAACACAATCACCGAAAGCTACCAAATAAGACTGCCAGGCCCGATGACAGATCTATCAAAGCAGAACTTTGTTGAGGTGGAAGGTGGGCGGCCAGGCCTGGGAAACTCTCTTCAAAACAAAACAAAATAAAACAAAGCAAAGCAAAACAAAACAAAACAAAACCAAGAGAGCAAAACCTCCCTGGGCTGATACTGATGCAATCCCTGACTCCTGCACACACATGAGGGAACCAGGATTCAAAGAGACAAAGGAACTTTTATAAAGATCTAAAACCAGTGGAAAACTAGCACTTGAACGCTCATCTCTGAACCCCTAGTCTAGTCTTCTTTTTTCCAACTCCTTCTGGCTGAGCTGACAATGAAGGGCCCCCTAAAAAAAACTATGTACATAACATAATGTAGAACTTTTAGTCTCCCTTTTGTCAAACTTGAGATCTAAACTAACTTGGATTCCGTTCTTTGTTTCCCTTGAGCCAATGTCCATTTAGCTTTTCTTGTTTCTCTTCATTTATCAGTTGTGAAAGACATCTGTCTAATGACTTGTAAAATATTTTGTATATTTTATACTTTCCCCAGAGCAGGGAAGTAAACCTGCTGCTCCTGAAACTCTGTCAACAGACTAACACATGGGGTGGGAAACTATGACTTGTGGGCCAAATGCAGCCCACTACCCGTTTCTGTAAATAAAGATTTATTGAAATACGGCCATACCTATTCATTTTCATATTGTCTATAACTATTTTTTTGTTACAATGGCAGACTCAGGTAGTTGTGACACTATCTGGCCCTCTGCAGAAACAGTTTGCTGATCCTCTTCTACAAACATGAAAATGATCCCCTGTCATTAAGAACAGAGACGGAAATAAGGACCTCTTTTTGGTTATGTTGTGATGATGATTATCATGACAGTCAATTTTTCTGATGGAGGTGATAATTAACAACGAATAGCTCAATGGTAGGGAGGAGAAAGAAAAGATCTTCAAGGTAGATATCCAGGACCTGACTGCATGATATTACAGATATATGAATTCTGCAAGCCAGGTATCCAGGCCCTGACTGCATGATAAATATGAATTGTGGGAACCATCCTGGCTCTGAATAGCAACCAGGTGAGCCCCTGCCTGCCTCCCAGCCTACCTGTTCTGCCAGCCAGGCAATGTGCTTGACCTCCTTGCTGCCTCCTGCTGTACTAGTTGCACCAAGCATGGCATTGAGTTCAGCCAACACCTGTGGGAGGAGAGCCATTATGTTGGTGTGGATAGCTACAAACCAGGAGTGTGCTGTGGCTGTGTCCTTGCAGCGTAGGATCAATGTGTTCCTGCTATCAGGAGAATGTAGCTCTATCAATCTGTGTAGAAAAAGGAAAAAAAAAAAGTAAGCTAGGTCAGAAGTCATCAAACCTGCCAGAGTATAAAATACATGACTGAAAATCTATTTGAATTTTACATTCCAGAATAGAATAGAGATACTTTCTCTTAATTCTTAAGGGTCCAATTCCAGAGAAAACCACATATGGAAAGATAATCATTGGAAAGACTAACTGCTGGGTCTCTTGTTTCAACATGTTAATGTAATGACCTAAGATGAGGGGACCTATTGTATAGTCTATAACAGAACACTTCGTTCTGCCTTAATTTCCATGTCAAAGAAATGGAAAGCACGCTTGCTGAATCTAATAGGCAGATTATAAAGAAGAAATTGATATTTAAAAAAAAATATTTTGAAAATTCTGATATTAGGTACTACTGCTAAATAAAACCTACTGCCAAATAGTGACCTGAAATTTCCACTGTGTGAAATAAAGAAAAGAGAAAAGAGCTGAAGAATATGATTCTTTATGAAAAATTTGGAACTGTGTTTTAGTGTCTGGGTAACATCATGTGATTAAACCTTCCACTGAATCATAGTAGAAAAACAGTTAAGAGACCTTCAACTCTATGACTATTATTTGTTAATACTCAACTGAGAACAATCTATACTTTAAAAGTAATCTTTAGGAGTTAGCTAAAAAATTTTTAAAGTACATTGAACAAATTCTTTTTTTTTTTTTCTTTTAAGATTTTTATTGGGGATTTGGGGGGCTGGGAACAGCGCTGGGGAACTGGGGGAAAGGGAACAGACAAGTTGCTGTCCTTTTGTTCTTCAGTCTAGTTGTGGAGGACATTGCTTCACTGGCCCTAGTTGGCACCATCATTGCACTCTTTCCGGGTGAGGCAGATCAGTCGCCAGCTTCTGGATGGCCGCTCACGCTGGCTGCTGGCTACATACGGTAGCCCATGGCAACCCACTGCCACAGGGGCTGCAGCCTACGCCGTCGCCGGCGACTCAAGGAAACCCAGCTACAGGTTGAGCTGTTGTTCAGCATCTTAGCTGTGGAGGGCAGTGTCACTGGCCCTCATATGTGGGATCCGAACAGGGAGCCCTCTGGCATCCCAAGCCAGCTCTTAAGCAACGCGCCACTCTGCCGGCCCAACAAATTCTTTATACAGCAATTTCTTGAGTATTGTTTTATGTTTTGGCTAAAGTTTTTGTCAAGATGTATTTAAAATGTCAAATAAATAAATGACTAACATATATACACTGCTATGAATGTAACTTTCAAAATGGAAAAATAAAAGCTCTTAGGAGTGTTTTTCATGGCAGGCTAGAAACTGACAAATTGCCACTAACCAAGGAGAGGTATCTTTATTCTTTCATCTTTCTAAAGACAGTTTGACTGTCTTGAAGCACTGTTATCAGGCCCTGTACTGCCCGTCAAAGATAAGCAGTTTACATGCACACTTGCATTTCTGCCTTGATGCCTGTGCCCCTCTCTTTTGCCAAATATTTTAATTTGCCACATTTAATATGGCAAATAATCATTCTCATATGAACTCTGGTCAGTCTATCCTTGCTTAAACACACATTTATTGCATACCTACTGTGTACCAGATACTGTAGCAGACACTGGTATTGGAGATACATTGGTGAAAAAATAGATGGGTCTAATAGTCTAACGGGGAAGGCAGAAAATGAACAAAGAACTGTGATGACTACTATGAAGTTCTTCTCTAAAAAAGGCACTCCCAAGATGGTAGTGGCACAGCAGGACTGCAATGGAAGCCTCTAAGCCTCTGGGCCACATTCCCTAAGCCGGTGTCATGCTTTGAGTCAGTTTATAAACACATCTACCTCGTACCTATTTACTCACCCACTCACCTGCCCTCCCCCTGGAGGCCTAGCCACCAGTCTATCCATATCTGCCTTCAAAGTTTCAGGGCAATAGACAAATGGGAGTATTGTATGATTCCATTTATATGAGGTCTCTAGAGTAGTTAAATTCACAGAAACGAAAAAGTAGAATGGTAGTTGCCAGGCATTAGGATGAGGGGGGAATGGGGAATTGTTTAATGGGTAGTTTTAGTTTTGCAAGATGAAAAAGTTCTGGAGATTGGGATTGCAATAATATGAATATACTTAATACTAGTGAACTGCACACTTTAAAATGGTTAGATGGTAAATTTTATATTATGTGTACTATAGTACAATAAAAATTTTAAAATAAATGAATTAAAAAATAACCCTATGGTGAAATGTAAGATGGATTACTATAGAGAAAGAAATGGCCTGGGGAAATTTAGTTGGACACAAAAAGGATGAGACTACACAGAGCTCCCCAGTAGGATACAGACTCCTACGCAGGAAGAATTCCTCATCCTAAAAGCCCAGCAAAAATAGAAAGAGGAAGGTAAGAGATCTCTGACAAATAACTTAATATTCGTACTGACCTTTATTTAGTCTTCTGTGTTATTTTATATTTATTCTTTTTGATGTTACTTTCACTATATTAATTGTAGCTGTCATGGTCTGTTAAATATTTGGCTAAAAAATTGATTATATTCTCTATGAGAAAAATAGCTATACATTTGTTATGGGAAGATTTAAAACAGTACATTACACTACATAACAATAAAATATTGCACTTAAAGGTAGAATCATCTCTGTAATAATCCTTTTGATGAGTTAATTAACAATTGTATTATTTGTAGAAACTGCTCATATAATCATTTAAGTAAGTAGCTAAAGTTATTTTATAATAAATTTACTTAATGACAAATAGTTGTATATAAACTGCAGTGCTCGACTGTTAGATAATGTATGAATACAAACCCAAAGCAAGTTATTTTATATTTTCTTTGTTACTTATACTAATCTTAAAAAGAAAAAGTAGGGTAGGCCGAGTGGCGTGTTGGTTAGGAGTTGGCTTGGGATGCCAGCTCTGAGCAGCAGGGCCCCGGTTTGGATCCCACATGAGGGCAGTGACCTGCGCTCTCTACAGCTAAGATGGTGAACAACAGCTCGACCTGGAGCTGGGCTGCCGTGAGTCGCCGGTGACGGGGTAGGCCGCAGCACCTGCTGCAGTAAGCTACCGTGAGTGGCTGGCAGCCTGCGTGAGCTGCTGTGAGCGGCCGTTCAACGGCCAGCGAGCGACTGCCTCAGCCGGGAAGAACACAATAATACCAACATGGGCCAGGGAAGCGACGTCCTCCACAACTAGACTGAAGAACAGAAGGACAGCAACTTGTCTGTTCCCCTCCCCCAATTCCCCAATTAAAAAAAAAAGTATTTCTAGAACTTCCTGTATAAGATGGCAATTTAGCACACACATCTATTCTAGTCCTTACTAAAAACAAGTTGAAGGGAATTTTTAAAAAAAAATCAATGGGCTTTTTCTTTTATCATTATTAGGCTTACAAAAAACAAACAAAGAGGAGCAAAAAGTACAGCGAGCTCCCAAATACCCCTTCTCTCAACATCCTCTATTGTTAACATCTTGCATTAGTGTGTATGTTACAACTAATGAGTCAATATTGATACATTATTATTAGCTAAAGCCCTGGTTTACTCTTTGTGTTGCATATTCTGAGTTTTGATAATGTATAATGATATATATCTACCACTAAGATATCATACAGAATAATAGCTTCACTGCTCTAAAAATCCCATGTGCCATCCACTGATTTCCCCATCACTCACCCCCTGGCCCTGAACTTCCGGCAACCACTGATCTTTTCACTCTTTCCATGGAATTATACAGTAAACAAGCCTTTTCAGATCGTTTTGGTTTTTTTTTTTTCAACTAACAATATGCATTTAAGTTTCTCCATGTCTTTCCTAGTTGAGAGCTCATTTTTTTTAAATCACTGAATAATATTCCATTGTCTGGATGCACCACGGTTTGCTTATCCATTCACCTATTAAAGAACTTCTTGATTGCTTTCAAGTTTTGACAATTATGAATAAAGCTGCTATAAACATTTGTGTTCAGATTTTTGTATAGACACAAATTTTCAATTCCTTTTGGTAAATACCAAGGAGCATGATTACTGGGTCATATGGTAAGACCATGTTTAGCTTTGTAAGAACCTGACAACTATCTTCCAAAGTAGGTGTACCCTTTGACATTCCCACCAGCAATGAATTAGAGTTCCTGTGGCTCTACATCCTCACCAGCATTTGGTGTTGTCAGTGTTTTGGATTTTGGCCATTTTAATAAGTGTGTAGTGGTGTCTCATTGTTTTAATTTGCAATTCTCTAATGAAATATGATATTGGGTACCTTTCATATGCTTGTGTGCTACCTGTATTTTCCTTTGGTGAGGAGTCTGTTCAGGTCTGTTGCCCATTTTTTAATTGGGTTGGGTTGGTTTTTTATTGTTGAGTTTTAAGAATTCTTGGTATATTTGGATACCAGTCCTATACCTGATACATATTTTACAAAGATTTTCTCCCAGTCTGTGGCTTCTTTTCATTCTCTTAACAGTGTGTGATGGTTAATTTTATGTGCCAACTTGACTGGGCTAAGGGATGCCCATATAGCTGGTAAAACATCATTTCTGGATGTGTCTGTGAGGGTGTTTCCGGAAGAGATGGAAGAGATTAACATTTGAACCAGTAGACTGAGTAAAGAAGATGGCCCTCACCAACTTTGGCGGGCACCATCCAATCCACTGAGGGCTGGAATAGAACAAAAAGGCAGAGGAAGGGCAAGTTTGCTCTCTGCTTGAGTTGGAACATCCATCTTCTCCTGTCTCTGCACAATGGCACTCCTGGTCCTTGGGCCTTTGAACTTGGACTGAATTATACCACTGGCTTTCCTGGTTCTTCAGCTTGCAGACAGCAGATCATGGGACTTCTCGGACTCCATAATCACATGAGCCAATCCCTATAATTAATTAATAAATCTATCTACCTACCTACATACCTACCTATCTACCTACTTTATCTATCTATCTATCTATCTATCTATCTATCTATCTATCTATCTATCTATCAGCCTACTTACCCATCCATCCATCCATCCATCCATCCATCCATCCATCCATCCATCCACTTTTCCTATTGGTTCTGTTTCTCTGGAGAACCCTCATGTCTTTTACAGAGCAGAAGTTTTTAAGAAAGTTCAACTCATTTTTTTTTTATGTATTATGATTTTTAGTGTTGTATCTGAGAAGTCATCAGCAAACTTTAAAGGGGATTTTTTAAAAGCCTAATCCTAAACACTCAGGGAGAATAGGAAAGGAGTGACTACAACAAAATTTTACAAACTAGCAAGCAGACAGAAGAGTTAAATGACTTATTAGACCTAAGAAAAGGGGGAAGAGTCAAAGCCCAGCCAATCTATGTTGCAGAATCCCAAAGAAGCTAGAGAACTGGAGGCATCCGTTGCCACTGGAGGGAGGAAAGGGTGCAGCAAAAATAAAGGGGTTGGCTGAAAGTCTGTTTCAGCATTCCCCACGCCCAGAGGCCAGTGACTATCCTACTCTCAAACTAGCAAAAATTCAAACCCACCCTCATCCCAACTAATTGGGTGGAAGTCAGTGATGTCCTTGATTCAGAACCTCTATCAGGCTGTTTTCTAAGTGGCTATTTATTTCCACCTGGTTGCTTTGGCATTATAACCAGTTTAACATCCTTTAAACATATAGCAAAAGTTCAGTCGCAAAACCATGACAAGAAATTTCTTTCACTCCTCCTCCTGACCTCCTTAGCAATAAAGATAGAAATCAGCTCATCCTTCTCTGGGCACAAAACGTCCACCTTCTGAAAAAGCCTTTGCACCTCATACAGTTCCTGGGACAGTCTCTCAGACACATTTCCTTTTACACAATCTAAACTCTGAAAATCCTGATGTCAGAGAGCCTAGTTGTTAATAACTGAAAGAATGGAAAATGTCTGTTATAAAACAAAACTAAAATGAGAAGATATTGGGACCACTAGGCTGGAAAAAGATGGAAACAGGCCGTAAATTCCAGGCCAGGATCATTAATTTTTCATGAAAAGAGAAATTCTGCAGTGATTCTTAGCAAATTATATTAGAAGAAACAGAAAAGAAATCCTGGTGATTCTAGGATCCAGGAGAACCTGCCTTTGAAGAAGCAACCGAGCCCCTAGAGCTGATAAAGGGGACAGTCTTTCCTAAAGCCTACTGCAGCTTTAAAAGAAAAATTCCTATAAAAATTCTTCTAATAAAAATCTGGAGGCAGTCAGTCAGCAATTGTTTAGGTCCACAGGAGAGAGAGGGAAACAGCTACAGTGTGAAGAGTTTTGGCTTCTAGTCAAACCATTGATTTCCTGAGAGATGCAATTACATTTTGATCATATGAATCAAATCAATGTTTAGGTACACAGAAGCCTAGGAGTTATACTTCTTCTGTTAAGTAAAGTCTTTGACATAACTTATGTGTTCAATTTAGTAGTAATCATATTGTTTTATATGTCACAAAGCTAAAATTTACCTTTTACATGGGAAATAGCCAATGTGAAGATGACTAAGACATCGTGAATGAGCTCAAAGCAAATAGACTGACATTTCTGAAAAGCTGTGGTTAGGAACACCTTGATCTTGCTAAACACCACACTGCCCACGATGCTGTTTGCTAAGGAATGAGCTCATGTTCACTCCCTGGACTTTGCCATTATTTAGCTTTCACTTTTGAGAATGAACTGCTTGTACCTATCAGAAGCATCTAGAGGTCTCGAGGTGGAGAGAGAGAATAAACTTCTTCCTCCTCCTTACTTAGTCATTATTCTGATGGTCAGTACTTTTTTTCAGCTCTAGAGAAAGAAACTAAATCAATGTGGTAAAACAGAAGAAAAGGGTGTTTCCCTCTCATGTTAAGTAAGTTTTTGGTTTAGAAGGTGAAGGATGAATCACAAAGAGATTCCTATAGGCCCACCAGAAAAGTTAATATAAAAAAGACTGACATCATTATATTGGTGGGGATGCGGAGCCATGGAAACTCATTCAAAATACATTGTTGATGGGAATGTCAAATAATACAACCACTTTGGGAAAAAGTCTTGCAGTTTTTTAAAAAAACTAAACATGCACCTACCCTTTGACCCAGAAATTTCACTACTAAAAATTTACCTGACAGAAATGAAAATGTATGCTCACAAAAACAGTTGCACAAAAATATTCACAGTAACTTGAATATTAGCTCTAAACTGAAAATAGCTCGTGTCTATCAATAGGAAAATGGATAAAGAAACTGTGATATATTCATACAATACTACTTAGCAATAGAGAAAGAACTACTGATACATACAACAAGATAGATGAATCTCAGAAACCTTATAAGGAGTAAGAGAATTCTATCACAAAAGAATACATACGATATGATTACATTTATGTTAAGTTTCGAATAGTTTAAACTAATCTAATGGTAGAAAGTCAGAATAATAGTTGCTTTGGGAGGTAAAAAAGGGAATTGACTGAGAAGGGGCAAAAGAAAACTATATAGGGCGATAATAATGTTCTATATCTTGATAGGCTTGGGTAATATAATCATATGCATTTGTCAAAATTATGATTTGTGCATTTTATTTTATGTAAATATTACCTCAAAAGAAAAAAACTACAATGCAACAAGGAACTCTAGTTATTTATATGCATGCTTAAGTATTGAAGGGGAAGTATATTAATGTCTACAATTCACTTTGAAATGCATCAGAAAAACTGACGAACTGATGGGTGGATGGGCCAATCTGTGATAAAGCAAGTCTAGTAAAATGTTAATGGTAGAATACGGGTGGGGGAAAATGAGGGTTGACTACAAAATTCTTTTGACTTTGCTATGTTTGAAGATTTTCATAATAAAATGTTAGGAAAAAAATGAAAAATGATGAGAAACCACATGCCTATCTACTGTTTAAAAACAGATTCACCAGTATTTCCCAGATTAGGGAACACCTAAGCTTATTTCTTGCTCAGTTTTACAACAGACTATGTGGAAGATTAAGATTTTCAAATAGAAACATGGTCAGTTATATAAAGCTGCAATTTGATAAGTGTCTTGGTGACAGATGTCCTAATGAAACTTATTTTTGCTGTTCCTATATCAACTGTTTTTCTGCATGGCTTTAAATCTTGTAGCTGTGTTGCCTATCATGACACTTCCTTTCACAGTGGAGATAAATTTAAGGATCAAAGAGCTCCAAGTGATATTATCTTATTTATCCTGAAGAGTAAAGTTGAGCAGGCAGTATTATGTCCATTTTACAAACAGAGAAAACAGGAAGACAGAGAAATTAAGGGACTTGTTTAAGGTCACAAGGACACTAACAGGACCTATAATAATATACTGAGAGCTTACGTGCCAATTTTACAATCATTCTCTTATTGAATCCTCACATTACCTTTCATTTTACACAGGAGGAAATACAAGTGAGAGCGATACAGGAATAACCTTATGTAATATTGCAACATGTCTTTAAGTTTGCAAAGCTGTAAGTCTGATGTTCTGCTTAGGTACAGCTCACCTGTTCTCCAGATCCGGCATGCTTAGGTTTCTAGCAGCAAAGCACATTTTGAGAGGGATGACCTTCCTGTCCTTGGTGCTGTTTTGGTGTTTTGGAGAACCAGAGTCCTCGCTGCCACTAAAGCTTGGTGACTGGGGAGCTGCACCTTCCCATGGCAGATCTGATACTAATGATGGCTTCTTGATATATGGTGTTACTTCTCGGATAAACTTGACTATGAACAAAAATAAAAAGAGATTAGTATTTCTACTTCCTATAAAAAATGACAACTGAAATATACACATACATGCAATATCTGGCATGAAGTAAAAAAGACACTAAGTTAAAGCACATAGAATCTTAGGAGCAGTGTCCTTTTAAGGGCATATAATCCAAATAAAATACCATTACTCTATTCTAAAAACTTTATAACTTCTGAGCCTTAGTATGTATTGTTCCTTCTGCTTAGGACTCCATTCTCCCTTTGTCTACATCGTCAACTCTACTCAAGAGTCACCTACTCAGCATCTTTTCTGTCTACTCTCTCCAGGGTATTACCATTATGCCTCCTTACCAACCTCTTAGCACCCTGGGTTGTTATCCTTTGCCAAAGCTTTGGTTCCCCTGCTAGCTGTTGAGCTCTCCCAAGGGCAGGGATTGTGATTTATTCAATCTTGGTATCCAACATCTAGAACAGTGCCTTTTCAGTAAACGTTTAAATAAATGAGTGAAGAAACAAATGAATAATTAGATACTTGGTAGTTGACCAGCCATGAATGAATCTCCTGGTGATAGATTCAGTACCTCCTGAGACAGTGCCATCTAGCTTTATCTGAACTCAACATTTAGAAACTTCCACCCATTGCTTTGCCATCTGCTGAAGCCATATGGAATAAACTTAATCTCTTCCACATAAGAATACCTTCAAATGTCTGAAGACTAAGATTTTTTTCTCTCTCTCTCCGTCTCTCTCTCTCTCTCTCTCTGTCTTCTACGGACAGACTAAGCTAAGTATCTCTAGTCCAATTTGATTCACCTCAATCCACATTTTTGGCTACTAACCATGTGTCAAGCATCAGGCTAGCCACCGTGAATACAAGAGCAAATGAGGCACAGACCTTGTCCTCAAGGAATGACCAGTCTAGTAAGGGATTCAGCTATGTAAATAGATCGTTAGTTTTAAAAACAAGTACAAAAATAGAGTGTATTCAAGATAAAGTATTTCCATTAATGGTAGCCCCAAATTAAAATATAGCTTTTAGTAGATGGGAAGCTTTATTCTTTTTAAGTTCAATTTTAGGACTCATATAAAATACTTCTTTTACTTTAGTCATGACTGGCAACTATTGTAATTTGAGGCATGGTGTTCTTGTTTCAAAAACGAGATAAACCAAAGATCATTAAAATCTTAAATAGCATTAAAATGTAAATAAATAGTTGAATGTAGATGAACCAGTCACCATTAGGTCTGCTAATATCAATATATGTTATATCAGTATTCTACCTCCCTCTCAAATTCCAGCATGGTAGGTCATTAGAGTAGCATAATGGGAATTGAAAAACTAGAAAAATATGATCATTATCAATGTTTCTCAGTATAATAGCTAGCATTAACATTTTATAGCATTAGAAGCTTTACAAGCCTATGAAACTTTACTAACAAATAGATTACTAAATCTCAGAAATAATCAGGTCTTTCTAAAAATATAGCTAACAACCGTCTTTCAAATAGTTTCTTTTCTGAATAGGTAACATATACACATAAAACAAAATTCAAAATGTATAAAAGATTTTATAATAAAAAGACTAGATGTCTAGCAGTCTAGTTGCCATCCCTGGAGGCAACCATCATATGAACTTTCAGAGATATACTAGCTATGCTAAGCAGATGTAAAACAGACACACACATGAATATATGTATCTATACATTTCACCCAGTGGCAGTATAGTATGTTTATGTTCTGAACCTTGTGTTATTTTTTCTTAATAATATTGATAATAGTCTTTTATAAGCCTAGCATTCTCCAGCTCACTCTACAGCATATGGGAATAGAGAGACCTTTGGAATCATACAGACCTGGTTCTGGTTCAAATACTAACTCTGCTTGCTGCCACACAGCTACGTGACCTCACACTTGCCTGGTCTGAGGTTCTTATCTATAAAATGAGAGTTAACACTAAACAAGTAAAACTCCCAGGCACATACTGAACATTCAATAAATAGGTGGCTTTCTTTTCTTTCCCTAAATTAAAATGTTGGAGAAGTTAAAATTTTTAAGCAGCAATCAACAGAAGAGGTGAAATTATTTTCTTATAAGTTACTAAACAAGATCTGCTGAAATTAAGCATAATTCTAAAAAACAAAGAAGGCTTATGCCAGCATTTAGATCTTGTTTGTGTGTGTTCTTTCTATGCATAGTTATAATACATGTATTTCTAGGTCAAGAGAGTTAAAGCTAGCTGCCTCAGGTCACCAAGGAGTTTTTTTCATCCTAGAAAAATAAGCAGCACTGCAGTTGCAGCCAGTACATCCCTTGAGCACTGACTCAGGCATTTTAATACATGCTTTAGCTTTGTACTTTCAAAAGAGGATTAGGTCACAAGAACTTTGGTAGAAATTCCTACAGTTTCCAGTCAATGCCAATGGCACAGACTTGCTTTCTGAACTATTTAAGGCAGTATACCAACAATTGGGCTACCAACTGGGTGAAATTAAAGACATTCTAAATGACTAATCATGAATATTATAGTGGTTAGAAATGGACCCTTCATGTTCTACCCAGAAGTTCATTCAATCACACAGTGGCATCACTGAACTAGTTCACACATATTTAAACAGATATACATATACAGCCTATTGCATGGCTTTATTAAAAGAGCAATGAGTTTCACTTGAGTTGACAATAATGATGCCCATACCCCCATCTAACCAGCCATCTATAACGGCTGAAGAACTGTGACTAGACATCTATTTCTAACTTACCTGCGTTGGGAAAGGTGGCAAGTTAAGGATATTGTTTTAGTCCTATACTAAGACCTCCCCTGTTCCCAAAGTGCTTTAACTTGGATACTTGGAGGGATAAGCAGAACCTCTATACCACCACATGGCATTCGGGTCAACTCAGAACCCACAGAATATTTCAGAATTATTTCACTTTTCCTGATAAAGATCATCCTCAAAATGTTTAGTTAAAACACTGATGTTTGCAGTGTTTTAGGTGTTTAGGTGCTAAAGTTAATTTTCTTACTTCTATGTACTGATAACTCTTATTGAAAATAACAGGGGCTCCTCCCACCCTACAAACTTCACTATAGTCCCTTCTCTTTAGAGTGACAAAAACATATACAGGTACTATACCCCCACCTGGAAAGATGTCTGGAAGGATTGTCATCAAAATATCAATAGTGCTTATATATAGGTGTAGGATTGCCTTTTTTTCTTGATAGTTCTATATGTTTGAAATTTTTCTGAGTCTGTAACATTTATACCAATAGAAACTTATTTTTAAAACGAAGAAAACTTATTCTAAACTTTGTTCAAACTTTAAACATGGAACCACCTTAAAGTGAAATCTTGTCCAATGTTCAAAAGCTATAATGCACTGGATGGGATCCAAGATCCAACAGATTCTTACTGAATTCCATACTCAAAAAAATAGGGTTACAAGGGGTCCGGGTATTTTAATGAGGTACACTGCTGTGCTAGTTTGGGGCATTAGGCAGCATTTGATTTTAAACTGAATGTCACTTGAAAGCTTATCCAAAAAGATACTTCATAGTGCGGACATAGCCTATGACTGTTTAACACACGTATTCCAGTAGATCAATCACCTTCCCTTATAAACATCAACCTCTCATACAATCATTAGTTTCCTCTTAATCTCTGAAGTTGATCTTTTTCTTACCCCATCTGGTGACCTTTTATGAGTTTAAGTGAAACTAAATGGGTCAGACAATGCAGGGAGAATGGTGCCATTATTTCCCTGGCTTTGTAAGCAAGCTTGTTCTGGGTTCTCCTCTGGGAGGAAGAGCTGGCTTTTCATTTTGCTCACAAATGAGTTATGTTGACATCACTGTTAAAGAATTCTCCCAAGAGGTTTCTCCTCAACCTCATCCCAAGCTCCTCCTCCAAATCTGATAGATGGCCACCAAAAACATTAGGAAGAAATGGCTTTAAGTAAAAAGCCTTTTTACATTCTCAACTAGCAGGTGGCAGGTACCTTTACTCAGTCTCCTGCCACTTGGGGCTTGAATAGACCCTGAATGTGTTTACAGTTAACTCTGGTTTCCATTTTAAAGTATCACTGCATATTCACGAATTTATTGAGCTCCTGGTATGTTCTAGGAACTGCTTTAGAAGCATATAATAATCCGTCCGTGAACAAAACATGCAAAAAATTAAAAAAAGAGGTGAATGTAATAAGTAAATTATGTTCTAGAGAAACAAAAACACATAAATACGCATAAAAGCCTGTACATGAATGTTTTAGCAGTTCTATTCATAAGTGCCAAACTGGAAACAACCCAAATTTCCTTCAATGAGTGAATGGATAAACAGCGCTATAGCCACAGAATACTACTCGGCAATAAAAAGGAATGAACTATTGATAAACTCAGCAACTTGGATAAATCTCAAAGGCATTATGCTGAATAAAGGAAGCCAGTGTCAAAAGGTTACACACTGTATTATCCCATTATTGAAAAGACAAACTATATGATGAACAGATCAGTGGTTGCCAGGGGTTAGGGATAGGGAAGGTGTGATTATATTTTTGGAGCATGGAACTATCCTGTATTCTGGCTGTGGCGATGGGACACAAGAATTTATACATGTGTTAAAATTCACAGAACTGGATACCATAAAGGGGGGGAGAGCCAATTTTACTGCAAAATTTAAAAAAAAGTAAATTAGATAGTATGTTAGAAGATGTTAAGTGTTATGGAAAAGGAAAAACAGTAAGGGAAGATGGATCAGGAGTGCTGGGGGTGGGGGTGGGGGTTGACTTAATTTGCAATGCTAAATAAGGTGGTTAGGGTAAGCCTCATTAAGAGGACTTTCGAATGAAGACTTAAAGGAGGTGGGGGATTTAGTCATGCAGATATCTGGGAGAAGCATTCCAGACTGAGAGAACAGTGCTAAAGCAGTAAGGAAAGCCAGTGTGGCTAGCGCAAGGCAATGGAGGGGATAAAAAGTAGAAAATGGGATCACAGAGGGAACCCCTTCGGCTTTTATTCTGAAACGGAAGCCACTGGGAGGCTTTAAGCAGAAGTGTGACAAGATCTAACTTGTATTTTAATCATTCTCACTACTATGTTGAAAGAGGGCAAGGGCAGAAGCGGGAAGACCAATTAGGAGGTTATTGAGAGATTGTGGTAGCTGGACCAGGTGACGAGCAGAGGTGGTGAGAAGTGGTCAGATTCTTTACTAAAGGAAGACCTACTCAGATACCCTGACAGACTGGATAAGAAGGGGTGAGAAAAAGAGAATTGAGGGTGATTTTGGGATTTTTGTCCTAAACAACTGGAAGGACAGAGTTGCCATCAATAGGTTTAGGAGGAAAGATCAGTAAATTAAGACAATATTAGACAACCAAATCTAGCAGCAGCCACATATATGAGTCTGTCGTTTAGGAGATGGGTCTGGAGCGTGTGGTTAATATGTAAAGCCATTAGACTCAATAAGATCACTGCATCAGTCCGAGTCCCAGCAGGAAATGGATGGCACGGGGTTAATAAAGTGAGAGTTTATAAAGGTGTGTGCAAGAGTTCAGGGAAACCACAAAGGAAAATAGAGTGTGATACCCTGTTTCCATATGTAGGTCTGAAGGGACTGGTAGAGGAAGTGGTTACCAGACCCAGCAGTAGAGAGCCCTATAGAGGGCAGACCTGAGAGGAGCAGTGCCTTTCAGTCAATTCTGCCAGACTGGTGACCCTGCAGATTGGGAGCCAAAGGGATAACACTCCACTCCAACCTCACTCTCCTCCCTCTTTTCCTCCAGCATCCTGTTGGGAGCTCCACATGGGCCAAACTCAATAAAAGCCAAAGGGCGAGTAAGCTTGGTGATGCAGTCCACGCAGGTCAGCCTCCTGGGACAGAAGCAGGTGGAGAAGGAGTGGACCTCGAGGGCCAAAGAGAAGACTTCCAGCACCATCACCAAGGGCATTGAGTATAGAGGAGGAAGAGGACATTCCACCACTAAACGGCTGGGGGAAGACAAGAAACAGCAAAAGAGACAGGAGACCCGCAAGAGACAAGTACTCCCTCCAGAGACACTGGCCTAAAATAGCACCAAGTTTATCCAAACTGAAAATACCTTGCCCTGATCTTACTAACCCTGACTTGGTTCCTTCTTTCCTTACTGCTCCTTGAAAAAAAAAAAGAAGTTTATGCATATTACTGCTATTTCTATTTTCTCCTGTTGCCCCTTAACTCTTCTGAATAAAACTGAATTCTAAAGAGCCACTAATGTTTTCTTACTCAATTCAAAGGCCCTTTCTCAATCCTTAATGCAACTCTATCAACTGTTTTTTATCCCTCCTTTGTGGTCACCATTTATTTTCTAATGCCTTGTTTCTCCTCCTATTCCTACAATGTAGTTGTTTCCCAAGGCCCTTACTTTAGCACTTTCTTCTCACTTTATCCTCTAATCCCGAGCAACTTTCAATGCTAGATGTCCAGAGCCAATAAATATCTTTTGTTGGCCCTAAATTCCTTCTACCTGACTGCTGTCCTCATCCTTCAAACTGAACATACCCCAAAATAAATTAATCTTCATTATCTTGAATATCCTCCTGTGTGCATTGTTTTAGCTATTAATATTAGTTAGCATTTTTCTAGCAGCCACCTAGTCCAATAATCTGTATTTTAATACAACTTCCTCCAGGTGCTTGATTCTCCTGCCCATTGAAGCTTTGGGAACTACTTCTCAAACCTCTGCAGCCTCCTCCCTTTCCTGGCCCCTAAGTGCCAAACCATACCTTCCCACCTGAATTTTTTCTCTAATCTACCTACCCCCCTCAATTCCCACTGCCAACGTGCTTCTGGATCATCCAAACCATTATAATGGCATTTTGTTGTTGTTGTTGTTATAGTAACTGTGGTAAAATATACATAAAATTTACCATTTTAACCATTTTTTATGTGTACCGTTCAGTGGTATTAAGCATATTTACTACCATCACCACCATCCATCTCAAGAACTTTTCCAACTTCCCAAACTGAAATTCTGTACCCATTAAACAATAACTTGCCACTCTCTTCTCTCCCAGCCCCTGGCAACCCCATTTTACCTCCTGTTGGCCTCCGCCTTTTCCCTCAGATAATTAAACTGGAAAATACTGAAAAGAAAACAAAGATAAATATAAAAATTTCTTATGCGACCACATTTCCTTCCAGACGTTTTAGACTTTTACTTAACACAGTAACATACAAACTCCTCATTAGCATAATTTAAAAATTGCTAGAGAGCATTCCATTGTGTTTACCATAATTTATTTAGGCTTCCGTAATTACGGGGCACTTACTTTAAATAAGACTATAATGAACATAATTTTCAGAAGAGAAATTACTGGGTCAAAAGAATATTTAAGGTTCAGGATAATATTGCAAATTGCTCCCCAAAAGGACTGTACCATTTTACAGTTTCCACCAGCAGTTGTAAGAGCATGTCTGTGTCAGTACACCTGCCAACATCAAGTAATCTTATGTAAAACAATCGTCAATGTTTTAATGGGTGAGAAATGTATATATGCTCACCCAGTCTTGATCTCCTGCCTCAACAAATGCAGGATGTTATTATTTTCTCTCTAGAAGCAGGAAATCCTTGTCTCTTTATACTGTTGTTGTTTTTGTCTGAAGACATGAGAGGAGTAATTTGTAAGGCTGTAACAGTGAGGAGTCACAGGATGATCGCCAGCACCTCAGGTCTACACAAATTTGAGTTATAATTCTTTGGATTTGCTGTATCAGCATTTCCAGAGTTATAGTTAATTTGCCATTATTGCCTTATCATTTAACTCTGTAAAGTTGGCTTCTTTCTTCTTGTTAGTCATTAATAGGGGGAAAAAATCCCTAGCAAGGAAACCAAGCACGTCCTCAGAAGCAGGACATGTGTTTATAAGATGTTAATTTCAGCATTTTCTGGTTTAAAAAAAAAACAGTTGTATTTATGTTGGTCCTGGGATTTTCAGTTCATTTCATTATCCATCATTCTTTCTCCATTTCAATTCAAGGTCTGTCCAAGTCAATAAAATAGGAGACATATTCTTTATAAGGATCTCAAATTATTATTGGGATGACAAGGAGAACTCAAGTTTCCTTTTAAACCTCTGAACTACAGTGAAACAGATCCAAATAAACCAGGGATTAGGGAGCTCTGAAATTTGTCCCCAGCAATTAAAATTTTAGGATTTTTAAATTATGGCCTTTTATAATAAATTTATGTAAACTGGCAAAAAAAAGATATGTTTTAGGCCTCAATCAAATTCTAACACATATCTATTACTTTTATAAGAAAGTATTAGCTTTCATGCTTATATATATATATATATATATATATATATATATATATATATATATATATATATATACACACACACACACACAAACACAAAACAAGCTAGATTGAAATAATTTGGGTCTTGGGACTTTTTACTCTATAATTTCTCTTTGATAGTCTTCTTTAACTACTAACCTTACATGGTAAAACTGGTTGTGGGTCATTTATAAAGTAAATAATTTAGGGCCGGCCTAGTAGCGCGAGGGTTAAGAACTGGCTTGGGAAGCCAGAGGGCCTCGGTTCGGATCCCACATATGAGGGCCAGTGACACTGCCCTCTACAGCTAAGATGCTGAACAGCTCAACCTGGAGCTGGGCTGCCGTGAGTCGCCGGCGATGGCATAGGCTGCAGCCACTGCTGCAGTGGGTTGCCATGGGCTACCGTGTGTAGCCAGCAGCCAGCCTGAGCGCCCAGCAGCCGCTGTGAGCAGCCATCCAGAAGCCAGCAACTGATCTGCCTCACCCAGTAAGAGCACAATGATGGTGCCAACTTGGGCCAGTGAAGCAACATCCTCCACAACTAGACTGAAGAACAAAAGGACAGCAACTTGCCTGTTCTCCTTCTCCCAATTCCCCAGCACTGTTCCCATCCCCCAATTCCCCAATAAAAATCTTTAAATAAAAAAAATAAAGTAAATAATTTAAAAATGAATTTTAAAAGTATTCTCTTTGGAATGTTTCCTCAAATTGCAAAAGAATATGCAAGATTTTCAACTTTTTATTTAAAAAGTTTTAAGCATTTTAAGTTTGGGTTTTTAAGTATTTTTGTAAGGAAGGCAACTACTAGCAAATTTCCCTGTGGAAACTGCCATACATTAAGTATGTGTGTGTTTTAAGCCTTCATATAACTAATCCCCAAATTGGGAGACAATGCAACTGAAAAATTACTTCAAATTACATATTTTTCTTTCCCTTTTGGTGTTGAGATTTACGTTTATTTTCTATGCCATATCTGTTTTTATAACTCAATTCCAATCTTAGTACTTCTTCCTCCCCTAAAAGAAGTATTGCTTTATGTGAAACAGTGATCCCTCTGCCTACTTCAAAACATACAAAGCAGGGGCCGGCTGAATGGCGCGTTGGTTGACTTGGGACGCCAGCTCTGAGCAGCAGGGCCCCGGTTCGGTTCCCACATGAGGGCCAGTGACGCTGCGCCCTCTACAGCTAAGATGGTGAACAACAGCTTGACCTGGAGCGGGGCTGCCGTGAGTCGCCGGTGTTGGCGTAGGCTGCAGTGGAGCTACCGTGAGCGGCGGTCCAATGGCTGGGGAGCAATCTGCCTCAGCCAGGAAGAGCGCAATGATAATACCAACATGGCCAGTGAAGCGACATCCTCCACAACTAGACTGAAGAACAAAAGGAAAGCAACTTGTCTGTTCCCTTCACCTATTCCCCAATAAAATCTTAAAAAAAAAAAAAATACAGAGAACAACAACAGTAGGAAAGTCTTGACTACATATAGTATTAGAAAAAATAGAAAGATAAGACTTTAATTTCATTTTCACTAAAGCAGAGGCAATGAGAAAGACAATTTGCACAAGAAGAAACAGGCTGGTTAGGAATAATTTATATTGCTTCTTAGTCTCTGCTGAAATATTAAAGTAGAAGCTAGTTGTGTTTTTTTTTAAAGAACCCTATTGGATTTTTTTAAAGCATAGTAAAATGACTCATACACGATAAAACTAAGGGTAAAGCAGTAGTTTCCAGCAGACTCTGCCCAGCCGATCCTCCTCTTACTTTAATAAATCTTCTTTCTATTAAAAAAAGAAAATCTTCTTTCTAAAAAAAAAAAAGAAAACCCTAAGGGTAAAACTAAGGGTATCAGAGTAGCTAAGTGATAAAAGCAAGTTCTCAGTTTTGTATTTTAAAAATTATGTATAGATTAGTAAATTCAAAAAGAGCTCAAGGAAATATGCCAATTGCTAATAATGGTGATATCTACATTGTAATTACAGGAACTACTATTTTTGAAGTTAACTATTTCTACAATGTCTGAACTTTTTTATAATAACCATATGTTCTATAGTAAATAATATTAAAATGAACTTTTAAATACATGCCATCAAATAATAAAGAAAAATGGATTAGAAAAGTAATTTCAGAAATAGATTCAATAGCAGAAACAATACAACAATGGGAGCAAGTCACTATTCAATAAATGCTGAAAGAACAATGGGGTATCAGTATGGAATTGTCTTAGCTCTATATCTCACATCCTACGATGCATTTGCATTAACCTATAATTAATGCCCTTTGGATAATTTTTGTAAAATCATTAAAGTATAAATGTGAGCAACAAACTTTGTTAAATGAATCTATTCAAGCCTTGATACCATTTACCTTTTGGGGAGGTTTGAAACCATAATTTACCTCTCTGAGCCTCCGTCTCCTCATTTTTAAAACATAATACACCACCCTCAAAGGGCTGTTGTGAAGATTAAATGAGATGATATACGAAAGATGCCTAGACCTGTGCTTGAGTGTTGTAGGTACTGAAAATGTGTGTGTATGTGTGCATGTGCGCAATTAATACAATATACTTTGCAAGGAGTATACTATAGTGGACAAAGTCTAATATTTGAAATTGAACAGACTAGATTTGAATTTCAGTTCTGTCAATGATCAACTTTGTGATTCAGACAAATAATGTCACTTTTCAATCTCAGTTTCTAATCCATAAAACTCTAATACTAACCCTAATATCAATAATTTCACTTTTCAATCTCAATTGCTAATACATAAAACTCTAATACTAACCCTAATACCACCTTCACTGAGCAACTGAGAAGATTAAATAAGACTAATCAA